GTCTAGAATGATGTATGACAGCTAGTAGGTGATTTGGGATGAGTTTGGGTGAGTGGTGATGGCTGAGAAAGAGGAAATTCGTAGGGAAATGGAATGGAGGTTTTCTGGAGCTGTTTTCGTGATTTTGGGGCAGTTTAGAGTATTGGGTTGATTGCTGGAGTGTTTGGGGTTGTGGGAATGTATGAGGATGATTTCTGGATGTGTTGATGGAATGATGGAAGTGTGGAGGATGGCTGAAGTGAATTTTGTAGCTTGAAGACTTCTCTATTTATAGGGCTAAAATGGAGGAACATCATGATAAAATCCAACACCACCATTCCTCTTTTAATACAATCAATAACTCCCACTTTATCTTGTCTATGTTAGTGTGGTTGGAATCAATTCCATCTCATACTTCTTTTGCTGCACCTCAAGCTTTCTTTACATGGGTTATCAAAGGTGTTCAATTGTGGTTGCATTACCGCATGTGTTGTGTGATACCATCTATTTATAGAGACTCCTCCTTTGGTAGGGTTTGTAGAGAGTGATTCTCATATGGAAGGGATACTTAAATGAGATGACATAATAATATCAAGGAGATTCACTGAGAATCAAATCCTTGATTCAGTGAGATATTCCTATCTTAAATCAAGGATAATTGACTAATTAAATAGGATTTAATTAGAACAATTATTTGACCTAACAAATATTCCTTTATTCATGTGTCACCTTTTGATTGATTGCCAAAATTCATGTTCCCACAATAGGTAAATATTAGAATCGACAGAGTATGGGTGTATGTTGGTTCGAAACCAATATAATTTAGTCAATATGCATCCGATTCAATAAATATTGGATTTTGATTTTTTCAATCCGATCCAATCATATTAGATGTTTAAATCTAATCTGATCCTTTCCAATTGATATTAGATTGGATTGGATTGGATTATCGGTTTTGATAATGGAAAAAGACAATAATGAAATATTAAACATTTATCCTTAGGTTTAATCTAATCAAACATATTAATAGACCTAAGTGTAAATATAAATGAAATATTAGAGAAAATTGTTTTGATTATATAATATATTAAACATAACTCCATTAAATGACTTAAAATATTCGTAATTTTTTCAACTACAAATACTTACAAGAGAAAAATAAGCATAAAACTAACTATATTGGATGGGATTGGATTCTTATAAGCAAGTTCGTCATCCGATCCAATAATGTCGGTTTTGAAAATTACGGATCTAATCCAATTCACCAAATCATCGAAACTGATTGAAATTGGATTGGATCAATCAATTTGGGCAGATTGGATTGAATCTTGTACACTCCTAACTAAGAATTTTATTCAACTCCAATGTAATTATAAAAAATTAAAAAATTTTGAAATTTTGAAAGTAACGTAGTCTGACCTCACATATCATCAATTCCCTTGTTTGAAATTATAAAGTAAAAATTAGAAATTTCATCTCCCTTGTGTGAAATCATAAACCCAAAAAATTAGAAATTTCATTTGGAAGGAAAAAAGGAAATTAAAAAATATATAGATGATTAATGTTGTAAAGGGGCAACAGGAAAAACCGAGGTTTATCATAATTGTCTCGGTTTCTAATTTTTGGTGTTGTTTCAATTTTATTTTTATTTTTAAGGCTACCTTAGAGCATCTCCGAGGGAGATGTCAAATACCAAACATTAAATTTAAATTTGATGGTTGATGTGGCAATTTGACAACCTGCATAGTTTTACACCCCACCCAATATGTGAAATTAAAATATTATTTTATTACATTAGTGTTGATTTATTTATTAATTTTTTAAATGAATGTATTTTTATATTTTACAATTAAGAGTAATTCATTAATCAAGTTAAAATACTTACAAATTAAGGGAGCTGATTTCCCCACTCCTCTTTTCTCCATTTACACTCCATTTTGCTTTTTAATACTTTTAAATCAATTTTGTTCTTTCTCTTTCCTATTATATCCTTACCCTACATTAATTTCTTTTTTACTTCACTTTTATATTATTTCTTTTTCCTTATACTTAATTTTCTAACTTACACTCCATTTTCAGTATTAAAGGAAAAAAAGAAACTTAATTTCTTACTCAATTAAAGGAAAAAAAAAATACTAAAAATGGAGTGCAAGTTGGAAATTTAAGTAAAAAGAAAAAGAAACTAATATAAAAGTGAAGTAAAATAAAATTAATGTAGGATAAGGGTAGAATGGGAAAGAAAATGAACAAAATTAATTAAAAAGTATTAAAAAGCAAAAGGGAGTATAAGTGGAGAAAAGGGGAGTGGAGAAATCATATCCCTAAATTAATTATAAAATCTATATATATTAAGCAAAAGGCAGAGAATTGTGAAACATTCAAAATACCAGAAAATGCCCTTGGTTAATGCAAACATTAAGAATTAAAATTATTAATTAAATGAGGATAATATGGTAAATTTACACTTTTTTATATTTAAAAAAATTAAAACTAAAAGAAAATTCAGATAATGGATCCCACTTTTATGGAACACAACTACCCATTATCTTTTTTAATTCTAAAATAAATTTAAATTTTTTTAAAAAAAAGCCTCTCGCAGGCGCGAAAGCGCGCGTGGAGAGGCTAGTATCTATATCTATATATATAAAGTAAAAGGCAGAGAAAGGTGAAACATTCAAAATACCAGAAAATGCCCTTGGTTAATGCGAACATTAAGAATTGAAATTATTAATTAAATGAGGATAATATGGTAAATTCACACTTTTTCATATTAAAAAATTTTTAAAAAAAATCAGATAATGGATCCCATTTTTATGGAAACCCATCATTTTTTAAAATTCTAAAATAAATTTAAAATTGAAAAAAAAATGCCCCTCGCAAGCGCGGAAGCCCATGCGGAGAGGCTAGTGTAACATAAATATAATTAAACAAAAAAAATCATCCATCTCCATGTTGGTTGATGAAAAGAACACAAAAAGGATCAACATAAATTTTCAACGGTAAAAAATTCAAAAATATAGTAGTGTCAAGTGACAATAAAAAAGGAAAATAATTAAAAAGAAAAATAATAATGAAAGCATATAATGACAGCAGATACATGAAATAATAACAAGAAGAATAAAAAATATAAATAAGTATTAAATCTATATATATAAAGCAAAAGGTAGAGAATGGTGAAACATTCAAAATATCAGAAAATACTCTTGGTTAATCCAAACATTAAAAATTAAAATTATAAATTAATTTAGGATAATATGGTAAATTCACACTTTTTCATATTTAAAAAAAATTAAAATTAAAAGAAAAATCAGATAATGAATCCTATTTTATGGAACACAACTACCCATTATCTTTTTTAATTCTAAAATAAATTTTAAATTAAAATTTTTTTTTTAAAAAAAAAACCTCTCGCAAGCGCGGAAGCACATGCAAAGAGGCTAGTGAAATGGTAAAGCCAGAACCAGATGGGCAAAGAAATAATAAAATAATCAAAAGATGTCTCTAGCACTTGACCGCAATTTTGACAACAGAGGCTTCATACGCCATTCCATGTAGCGACTATAGCAGTTGGTTGGAGTAAATTTCAGCTATTATTTTTATCTGTTAAAAGTGCCACATAGGATTTGACATCTCCTTTGGAGATATTCTTCGAGGTTTAGGGATCGTTTGAGAGTGATTTTGGATAAGCCAGAATCACTTCTGGAAAGAAGCATCTCCCACATGCTTCTCTAGAAAATCACTTAAAGTGATTATTTGAAGAATTGATTCTCCATAAAAGTGATTATTTCTTTAAAATCACTCTCAAACCAGCCTTTACTAAACATAATCAGAAGCTCGACTGTTGTTTTCTTATTTGCTATGTTTTGATTCTACCTTTCTTCTTTAGGCCACCTTCCTTCATTGCCCACAATCAATTTGGGTCAAAGCGTACAGTCATTTTTTTTCTGTGTAGGTCAACATTTTAGCTCCCTTTAAAAAATATATATATATTTAAGATACATGCATATTCAAAAGAAGGTTTGCATATTTTTATTAAAAATAAAGGCTTAATATCACAAAACGTCCTTAAGGTTTACAAAACTATCAGATTGCATCCTTAATTTTTTATTTTTTTTTGTCATTCGTGGTCCTCAAGGTTAGTTATGTGTGCTCACAAATGGTTCCTGCCGTTAGGTTCCTTTAGTTTGCTGATGTGGCATATATATATATATATCACAAAACATCCATGAGGTTCACGCACCTATCACAAATGGTCCCTACGAATTTTTTTTATTTTTACATTTAAAATTTATAAAATTTTGATTTTCTTTGTAAAATTATTTAAAAATATATACAGAAAGCCAATCTTCTCAACTCCAAACCCGCATCTACTCCATTAGCTGCCAAGGTTCTCATCTCTGTCTCTTATGGTGCTCTCAAACCCAATCGAGTATTGCGAGCTTGTTAGCAGTTTACAGTATCTCTCACTTACTCGCCCTGACATATCTTTTGCCGTCAACACTGTTGCCCAATTCATGAGTGTCCCTCGCAACTCTCACCTTGTTGCTGCCAAACAGATACTTAGGTACATCAAGGGCACTATTGACCTTGGCCTCACCTTCACTCATCAAACTGCCGCCGCTCGCCTCTTCGCCTACGTTGATGAGGATTGGGCTGGGTGCCCTGATTCTCGTCGGTCGGCCACTAGATATGTGATTACTCTTGAAACTAACCTCATCTCATGGTGTTCCAAGAAACAGCCCACAGTCTCGCGCTCTAGTACAGAGTCGGAATATCGTGCCCTCTCTCATGCTTGTGCCGAACCACTTGGCTATGCTCCCTTCTTCATGAATTGGGTGTGCGTCTTCGATTCCCAGTCCAACTCTTTTGTGACAATCTCAACACCACGTACATGTCTGCCAATCCAGTTTTTCATGGCTACACACGTCACATTGAGTTGGACTATCACTTTGTCCGTGAAAAGGTTGCTCTTGGAAGTCATCAAGTTTGCTTTGTTCCTTATGTCGACCAACCTGCGAACCTGTTCACCAAAGCCCTTCACAAACCACGCCATCGGCATATGTCTTCCAAACTTGTGCATCCTGTGACACCCAGTTTGCGGGGGGGGGTGTTAACGCCGCTTTCCTTTCCTAGCCTACACGAAAGTCAACTTCACATTCTTCTCCTAGCAATTAGCCTTTCCTGCTGTAAATCGGATTTCCTGCTATAAATTGAATTGTATTTATGTCTATATTATTTCCTACCTTAAGTAGATATCATGTACTAGCATAAATAGGGACTGTGTAATCTGTTAAATACAAGAAAATATATTTTCTACACACTCACCGTTTGGTCCAGACACGAAGTAAGTTTTCAACATCAACACCTAAGAGAGTACACAAAACGTAATTAACTTAGAATTCTTCTACGATTGAAAACACACTAAATGTAAATGGTAAATAACAATACAACACGTAAAAATATTAAAAATAAAAACTCATTACCAATTTTGTGCTGAAAGTGAGGCTAATAATAAAAAATAAAATAAAGTGATGCAAACTCACATTGAAATGCTGACAGAGGTCATATCTTTGTTCTCTTTCTGGGTCGAATTTCAACACCTACATCACCATCATCATCTAATTCATTTTCATCATTATGTTTGCCATCATCACCATCATCCTTTGACATACTGATATGAGTCAGATCGGCCCCAATGCTTTTGATGAGCAACCCTTGCCCCGAAACAGTAACTCGAAAAATAGGCGGCTTTAATTGATCATCAAGCAAAAATGGAATACATTCCAGCCACACATTACCACCTGCCCCTGTCTCTCCTCCAAACACATACATCTCATCTCGATGACACAACAAGCGTCCTCCATTCAAAACACTAAATACAAGAGAACAAGGGCTAACAAATGATTCCGTAATTTCCCAAACAGCACACAAAACCAATTTTGTCTTCTCCAATCCGGAAGTCCAATGAATTTCAATAGGAAGTTCGTAATGAGTTTTACTCTCATCATAATCATCACCTACGTCCTTAACTTGGTCATTAAAAATCACTTCATCAAAGTAATTACGAAAAGTGAACCACTCTGGAACTTCACTGCCACTGCCAGGTAGTTTAACGATAAACCTCTTACTTCTCCTCATCTGTAACACAACATAACACAACAAAACACAGGCATGTATATTATTCTTAATTAGTCGTGCGTGCAGCCTACATAGTATAGTATTAACAATGTATGTAAATTGATAATTTAAAAAAAAAACAATATATGTAATGTATGCATATTAATTATATAGCAAAAAAGATAAAAAGTCACCTCATTCAGTACACTTTTTGCCATCTTTGAGACGTCCAACCCTAGCCTATGGCAATTAGACAAGTCCACGTAACTAATATGTTGCATGTCTCCGTCTTCCAATATCTTTGACAATGTTGAAAATCTTTTCAGTGATATGCAATCAGCCATATCAATCCTTGCTATAGACGCTGGAAGTTGTCCTAGAATTTCTACAAGCTTCTTGCAACCACTCAAATCAAGCTCCCGCAAGTTGACACATTTACTAATGCACACAGGAAGAATGACAAAATTGCTTTTGGATAGATTAATATTCATTAAGTTGGACCAGCAACAAAATTTCTCCAAGTACTCAACGTTTGATACATTGCACTCTTCAAAATCCATCATCCCCAGCCTCACTAAGTTGCCATTGCGTGGACTGTTTGCGTTGGTTCGAACCTCCAAAGGAAGTTCTGCACTCGATAAAGCTTCAGAGATCAAGTTATTTGGAAGTATGACAAGTTTTGGGCATCGATTGAGATTAATAGACTCCAGATGCAACCCATAAATACGTTGTGGCAGATTTGCAAGGTTTTCACATCCTTCTAAAGATAATATTTCAAGCGCAGTGAGATTTCCAGTTGATGAAGGCAACTCTTCTATAGCACTTCCACCTAACTCTAAAACTTTCAGGGCAGTGAGATTTCCAACGGATGAAGGCAACTCTTTTATAGCAGTTCTCCCAAGGTCCAAATAATTTAAGGATTCCATTTTGTCGACAATTTCTGGGAAATTCTCCAACTTTATGCAATCGTACAGACGAAAAAATATTAGAGATTTCAACCTAACTTTATTTGGAAACTGCGTGAGTTTATGGCAGCCACAAAAATCCAAATTTTCAAGTTTATCAAGATATCCAACAGATGGATGAACCTCGACTAAACTTGTACAACCATTCGCATTCAAGTACCTTAAGTTTGGGCTGCTGGATAGGTCGGGGATTTCAATTAGGAATTGAGATCCCTCGAAATTCAGAGATGTCAACTTTGTCAAATGCTGTGAAATTAAAAACAATAAAAATCAAATGGATAGCATTAAAGAAATTTACAACATACATCAGTTAATAAAGGAGACCTCTTAAAAATAACAAGGAATGAGAGATAGTTTAAAGTACCTTCAATCCCTCCCCTAGTTGTTTGATGCGGTTGCGAGGCATATTGAGCACAACTAGTTCCTTTGGACGAAACTTGGGTGGAAAAGATTGGAACGGACATCCATGCCAATCAATAACTCTCAACGAGTTTGGGAGATAATGAACGCCACCAGAAAGGCACACGTTATAGATTATGAAAATTTTAAGATTTTTCATCTTCGAGAAACTATCAGCATTCAAGCATATCTCATCATCTGAGTTGGGGAAATTTAACATGAAGTGTATCACATCATCTCGGTTGGGAAAATTTAACACAATGCGTGTGATTTGATTTGTTCCCTAACATAAAAAGGAAAAATGTGCTATTGTTACAAAGTATATATTACAAAAAATGCAAGAGTTTCAAATTCTATTTTTCTTCAAGATTAAAATAATAATTATTATACTCAATGCACAAGATGTAAGTTATTGAATTGAATAAAACATTACACACTCACATGTATAATTTAATTTACTTACCGTATTACTAGCAAGAACATGCTCGATGTCTTCATAAGACCACAATCTGCTACGACCTCCGGCTTCAGTGGGTGACTGTAGGTAAACTATGTCCTTACCCATCTCTTCGAGTAAGTCATGCATCTGAATGTGATCTCCTTCAACACTTACGAGTGCCTTTTCTTTCAGTACTTCAATTCTATAGCTAGCGTTGGGGTCACAAGCTACAAGTATTTCTATCACACGCTTTCTACTTTTACCCTTAAAGAAACATGCAATGTCAAGGAAAACCTCCTGTACGCCATGATCCAATGCATTGTAACTTATTTTGAGAACATCTTGAATATTCGGGCTTTTGAAACCCTCCAATGTAGCTTTCCATTTATCTATATCTCCACCACATAGACATGAACCGAGAACTTTCAAAGCCAAAGGAAGGCCTTGAGCATAGCGTATTGCACGTTCTGCAAGTTTCACATAATCACCCAAAGGAGGCCCACTTGTTTTAAAGGCATGCCAACAGAAGAGCTCAAGAGCTTCAGGATCATCTAAAATCTTGACCTCATGTATTAAATTAACATCATGAGCAGTTAACAGTTGTTTATCCCTTGTTGTTATGATAATTCTACTGCCTGCACCAAACCATTCACATGCCCCAACTAACTTGTGTAACTGTTCCATGTCGTCCACGTCATCAAGAACCAAGAGAACCTTTCTACAACTCAACCTTTGCTTTATCATAGTGGCCCCTTTATGAACGTTGGCCACCTCCAAATTTGTATCCCTTAGAATCTCATAAAGAAGAGTCCTCTGTAGTTTGGCTAAACCTCCTCCCTGCCACGTTGAACATTCTTTGACGTTTGCCAAAAAAGAACAGCCTTCAAATTCGTGGGCAATTGAATTATAAACAGCTGTAGCAATTGTGGTCTTACCAATTCCACCAGTTCCCCATACCCCTACCATACGAACATCTTCTTCTTCCCTCAAAGCTAAAAGCTTAGTTATATCTTCTACAGGATGGTGCATTCCAACTGGATACTCTGTCAAATGTAAATATGTACGGTCTATTACTTCCCGTGAAATGTGTTGAACGACTTTATGAATCAGTTCAGCTTCAGATCTATGTCTGCCAATTTAAAAGCATATAAAACATTTAGTCACATGGCATTTTTCTATAAAAAGTAATTTAAAAAGGGCAAGGAACATAATACACACAAAAATAAGAGAATTTAGAGCAGCAATGAATAAATTAACTCCTAGAATTTGTTTTCTTTTTTGTCACATCTCATAATTTATTTTCTCAAAAGATGATCCATTAACTCATACATTAAACCTAGGCCCCGTTTGGTTCATGGGAAAGGCAGCTAGGGGATGGGAAATCAATTGTTTTCCCATGTTTGGTAAGTCAGGCATGGGAAATTGTTGCCTGACACATGGGAAAGTAGGGGGGAAAGTGAAGTCATCCTCCCTCCCTAGGTTTTACTTTCCCTTCTCATGGAAAAGTAAGGCTAGCATTAATTTTTTTTTTACTAATTTGTCCTTACTAATAATCTATAATTACAATTTTATCCAATAACTATTGGTATTCCTTTTTTATTTTTTAATTCAAAATAGATTTTTTATATTTTTAATAGGGGTACAATTGGGAAACTAAACAAAATTTCTTTCCATTCCTACTCAAAATAAACATGGGAAAAGAAATAAAGTTATATTTCCGGGTTACTTTCTCGGCATTAATTATGTAAGGATAAGGGGGTTGGAAATTTACCCTTCCGACAGAGTGAACCCCGCCAATTTTCCTGCTTGTGAAAGTGCTTCCTTCCATCTGTTGACCTTCTCCACATTATTGCAGTCCATGTTAGCGAGTGCATCCCCGAAGCTTCCTCTATGATTCCGTACATCTGATGGATTCACCTTGTGAAAAACTGGGATGACCAATTGTTGATTTGATTCTTTGCAATCAAGAATCTTAACAAGCTCATCCAAGCACCACTTAGAGGACGCATAGTTTTCGGAGAACACAACCACATAAATCTTTGAGTCTTCAATTGCTGTGAGAAGCGCGTTTGATATTTCTTCTCCTCTTCTGAGTTCATCATCATCCATGAAGGTGTTAATTCCTTCTCGACGCAAAGCGCTATACAAATGGCTTGTGAAATTTGAGCGAGTGTCAAAACCTCTGAAGCTCAGAAAGACATGGTATTTCCATGAGTTGGTGAAAGGAGCAGAAGAAGAAGAGGCTCCTGTTGAGAATTAATGACTAACTCACTGCCCTTTTAAGATCTTGTTGTTGATGGACTTTGGACAAAGAACTCAATGATGGATGAGTCTTACACACACACACAGAAATTAACCAAGCACAAATGACACAAGTGTTTATAGAGGTTCAGCAAATTGCCTACATCCTCTTTGGTGATCACCTTGAGAAATTTCACTAATGAAGATAGGTTACAACTTTGGTTTACAAAGGAAACCCCCTTAGAACACTACCCTCACAATCTGTTTCTCTCACACCCTTGCTCAACACCTTGATACACTTAGAGAACTCTCTTGCTCTCCCCTT